TTTACATACATACATACACACACACACACACAGAGAGAGAGAGAGAGTATTTTTTTTTCTTTTTTGTAATAAATAAAATACAAAGGCCATAATCATCATTTAAAAAAATTCAAAACAAATAGGATCAAAGTTGCAACAAAATAAACTTTTTAAACCACCGGTGCAACTCCAAAACTTTTTGGACCAAAGTTTCAGTTTTTGACATACCACAGGGACCAAATTTACAATTTTGTCATTAATTAATTTTATTGTTAAAATAATTAATAAGTTAATAAATAAATAACAAATTAATTGAAAAATAACTAGGTTATAGAAAAATAGTCTTTTTACAAACAAGACAAAATTGCAAGAATGGTCCCTGTGGTTAGGTCGAAATTGCCACTTTGGGCCAAACATGTTTGGACTAGCACTAATGGTCCAAAGGTTTTCATTTTCTTGCCACTTTGGTCCAATTTACTTTAAACTTTTTTGTAATGACGATTTTGCCCTTGGTTTTGCTTTTTCATTTTTTTTATTTATATAGTTTAATATTTAAAAGAAAAACAAAAAAAGAAAATACCTCTCTCTCTCTCTCTGTCTTAACAAAAAAAAAACAGTTGACCCGATCATTTCTCACCATCTCTTCCTCCGACGAAGAAAGGAGGCTGCCGACCACCAGCTTCGCAGCCCCTCCCCGCCTCCCTCCGGTCGTGTAGCACCACCAAACACCCATCCCTTCACCCACTGTTCCGTTGTTCTTAGCTCCGATAAATTGACCATCCCAGCTCCGATAAATCGACTTAGCCACCAAGAAATGAAAACCCAAGCCGCCAATAAACCCTAACTTCAGAGTTTGCAGCGGCTCAACCATCGTCTTCGTCGAGTTGCTAGGGTTTGCAGTGGCAGGGAAGGGCTTCAAAGACGAAGATTGGAAAGGCATCAAAACCCCCAAGGGTTTTCAACGTCGTCGTGTTCGTCGTAAAAGATGTAGATCAACGTCGTCCTAACAGATCTGCAAAATTATCGGATTCGTGGCTATTTGAAGGTGAAGATCCGTTGAACACCCTATCTTACAAGATCTCCACATTGAGCGTAGGAAGCCACCGCCCACAACTACTACGTCGTCGCTGCCTTGCTCTCACCTTCACCAGTTTAGGGTTTGCAAACCCTAGCTCCGTCCGACCCCTTTCATTAAAAACCCTAGCTTCGTTTGGAGAAGCTCCAACAGTCGTATCGTCACCCATCATCGTTGGAGATAACTGTTCTTCGTAGTTTATCCGTTGTATCGTCGCCGCCACCCTTCTTTTGTTTTCAGATCAACAAACACTTTTGATACATTTTGACTGGTAGTGGTGGTTGTAGCCTTCTCATTCTAGATCTGTAGCTTGATCCGACTTTCATATGATGCTAGGGTGTTAGTGGAGGTGCTCACAGGTGCTGTTGTCGACGTTGATCAATGGTGGTGTTGGAGTTGATCGATGGTCATGGGTGTGGCGGCGATGACCGACAGTTTTGGAGGATTCTAGCAAAAAGAGGTGAGGAATATAGGTAGGAGAGAGAGATAGAGAGAGAGAGAGGTATTTTCTTTTTATGTTTTTCTTTTAAATATTAAACTATATAAATAAATAAATAAAAACTGAAAAAGCAAAACCAAAGGCAAAATCGTCATTAAAAAAAGTTTAAAATAAATTGGATCAAAGTGGCAAGAAACTGAAAACCTTTGGACCATAAGTGCTAGTCCAAACCTGTTTGGCCCAAAGTGACAATTTCGACCTAACCACAGGGACCATTCTTGCAATTTTGTCTACAAACAATTGACCAAAGACGCAAAAGAAAACATACTAGGAAGGCTATCCAAGTTAAAGTACAAAAATTATGGACTAAACATACAAGTTAACCAAACGACATGTGCTAAAACGTAAAAGTAAAATAATCAAAATCAAATAATGTCCATATTTTATATTTATATATACATGAAAATTTATGAAACATGGAGTTGAATCATTATGAACTTGAATCATTGGGTCAAAAGTGAAAAAGACAAATATAGCGTTCACAACTTCACATGTCTTTATGTGCCAAATTTTTAGCATTTTAGCTCTACTTAAAACACACTCTTCCACTTTTACTTTAAAATATTTCTAAGCCTTTGGATCTTACTCGATAAATCCTGTACCCTTGTGGCATTGCTTTTATTAATAATATATAATATTAGTCGGTTCTACAAGGGAAGTAACCACTCAATCCTTTTATACTCTAACCACTATGAATCAAATTAACCGTATTTTTTTTAAACAACAAATATCCTAAACTACTCCTAAATTGTTTCATCTATGTCCACTACGGAATTTGAACTTTCGACCTTAAAGAAGGAGAACAACACCGGACTTGAACCTTCGGTCCCTCAAATTTTACAATATTTTCTATTATAATCATTTTAATCCGTTCGTTGTGATATATATATATATATATATATATATATATATATATATATATATATATTGCAAAGTTCTTTAGTTTTAGTTGAATATTTTGTTGGTTCAACTTTGATAACATTTCCAAAAAAGTCATAGAAGAGGTTAGAATTTAAATCTGAATATACTTAAAATATTATTAGTGTTTGATGATTGACCTTCTATATGGATCTTGTTGTTGGTTGTCATGAGTCGCTCAGATAATGTATTTTACTATTTTGATATAATTATAAAAATGGTCCGTCGAAAATTGTCACTTTGGTCTAAAAAGTTATGAACTATCATCACGGGGTCCAAAATAAGTTTTTTGCTGTGGTTTTGGTCCATTTTTTTGAAAATATTTAAAATTATGAATTTGCGCATAGTATTTCTTTTTTAAATTTTGATTTACTTTATGATACGAATACGAGTTCACAATCCGAAATGTCTTTAAATTCCGAAGTGCATCCCAACTCCAAATGAGTTCAAGTTCCTAAATGCATTCCAATTCTGAGCTGAGTGTTGAGTGCGAATGGGATGTTAAGTGCGAAAGTGGTCCATGTTGCGGCTGGATGCTGGATGCGAACCGATGTGAACGGTCGCAATGAATCACAGTCCGATGGTGTTGGTTGCAATTGGATGCGAATGACTACGAACGATCGCAAGCCATTGCAGTCACTAGTGGATCTGATGCGAATGCGAGCCATTTCGGTACGATTGGATGCGAACCTCGAAACAAGTCTAGTTGCGATTCTCGGAAGCTGTTTAGTTGCGAACGAGGCTATTGGATGTGAACGATCATTGGGTGCGAGTGGTGGATGCGAAAGCTGGTTGGCAGTTGTTCCGAAACAAGATGAGTTTGAATGGTTAATCGCATGGATGATCTAGAAGATTCTACTTTATTTTTAGAAACAATTTTATTTTATTTTACTTTAACATTTAATAGGTAGTGTCTTTTTATTTGATACTTTCCTTTTTGTAAGCATTTGTAATGCTATAAATAGCCTCATCGTTGAACATTGAAATATGAATGATTGTTGAATGAATTGAATTTAAAGAACATTTTTCTTTTGAGTTGTGTACTCGCCCCTTTGTCAATTCTAGGACGCGTATTCTAGGTTGATTCGAATTCAAATCAATAGGTCTTGATTTGTCTTCATCGATACTCAATCTATAGGTCTAGATTGTTTATCACATCTATATTTTCTTATTTTCTTGTCGATTAAACTATCTTTGTTCTTGTTTTCTTATTGTTGTTCTTATTATCCGTTGCATCATAAAATCAGAAAATTCAAAAAGAAGTTACCCCCCGTATACGCATCACTTTAACATTTTTTCTAATTAAAACGAAAAGATAAAAAGAAACCACCCCACTCCACTCCTACCCTTATATTTAACACCTTATACCCTCTTTCCTTTTATCTTTGTCACCTTTGTTGTTGGACGATCGCTAGAGCAAGTCGTTGGAGATTTGGAATAACCCTAGTCACGTTCACAGTCCTACCCCCACCCACTCATCACTACCACCACCACTGAAGTTCTACAAACACAATGTGTTTGTAGAGGTGGCGACGACACGACTCCGACTCCAACGTATAAATTTGGCTTACAACGTCAAATTCGTCTTACTTCTTCTCTGACGACGACTTTAAGCTACGAGTTATAGAAACCCCGAAGAAGAACAACAAATCTGTAAACCTAAAAACGTCAAGTCATGATCTAAGGTTTTTATATTAGAAGACGATGATGAAATAGACGACACCATTGCAGTCGATGTTGGATAATGCTAAGGTTTCGTTGTATTCTTTGAGTTCCAATACTAGATAATGCTAGGTTTTTTTAGTTACAACATCGGTTGCAAGTTGCCATCGTCGAGTTATAATGCTCGACGACAGATAACGACAATGTTAGGGCTTTTGATGAAGATGGTGACAGTAACGATAATGTTAGGGACTAGGGTTATCGAATCGTTGTTTCTTTATCTCTTCACATCGCGATGAAGATCAATACAAACATATCCATATCTCAATCGTGGTTCCAAATGTTGTCGGTGGTTTTCGGTGAGAATGACGGTGGTTTCGGGGCGAGAATTGTATTGGGTGGATGGTGGTGGTGGTTGTGTTTACCAGATGGAAGTATTTGAAGAATGAAAAATACGAGTCTATTAGCATACAAGAGAAGGGATTAAGGTTGGGGTGAGTGTATTTTTCATTTTGTGTTTTTATAATGATTGTAATAAAAGAAAAATAAAAAAACAAATTAAGAAGTATAAATCCGTCAATTTAATAATTTTGAAACAAAAAGAGCCAAAACTCCAATAAAATCTATTTTGGACCCGTCTTTGTCCATTTTTTTTTTTTTGGAAAAAAACAACAATTTTCTAATAAATACTGGACGTTTTTTTTTACAAATTTGTCTATTATATGTTTATATAATTAACCAATAACAATCATTTTTTGTATATTAAAATTTGATATGATCGATTTTGATTGGAACAAAATAAAAAAATAATCAAAATATAGTTTCCTACAAATAAATAATGACTGGTTGGATTCTAAGACTGGACCAATTTACTAGATAAACAAGCGCCTGTTTTCCATGGTCGATGAGATATTGAGGTGTGTAGGCTGTCATTGCCTCTCTCTCTCATGCGCCTACTGGTCTTTGTGAATCGGCTCAAACCTCAAGGTTTGGCGTATCAAATAATTCACTCCTATCATTCGCCTGATAAATCTTCACACGAAATTGTTCATAACTAGTTGATCTTTCCAGTTGCTGCTCGTGTTTGTTCTTCTGCTATGCACTGTAAGTTCGATTTCCCCCCCTTAAAATGCTCTTTTGATTTTTCTCAAATTCGTTTTCGCTTCATAACTAGTAGTAGATTCATCATTTGCCGGATTTTCACCATTCTAACCTTTTGAATTCAACTGTTAATTTCTTTTAACTGATCTGTTTGATATATCGATTATTGAATGTTTAATCTAAAGTTTGTTGTCGCTATTTTTCTCTGTAATATTTTCTGTTAGCGTGGAATTCACCAGCGAGATCTAAAAAATTCGACCGGATTTTGTAAATCTCAGCAAATTTACGTTCGTCGAACATGTATTTGTCTCAAGCCTAATAATTTATAGCCTAAAACTCCAAATTTGGGAGTAAATTCTGCTCAATCGAAAGGTTTTGAAGATAATATGGCATACCGTATCTTCATTGAAGATAGCTTCTTTGTTGTACAGATTTTGAAGTCAACCGTGTTTTCTCTTTTCCTTTCTGACATTCACAAGCACTGTGTGAAACTGTGAATACATTTTCATCTTTTTCTCTCTGATTTTACGTATTACAGTTTCATTTAGTTAGAGTTGCTAATCGTCATTCATGTGTTTCTTCCCCATATTTCTGGTCCCTTGTTTTCTGCTGCTTTTAAGTAGATCGGTGTTAACTTTTTAAAACTTTGGATAATAAAGAAATCAACTTACATCAAGTCTTCTCAATCACACAAAAAACTGGGCAAATTTCTAACAAAAATTCTACAATAAGTTATGTTTTTCAAAGTGCAATTAGGTCTTTCACAACAAGGGTTATTTTTTCTATCAACCCAAAATGTATCAGATTATTAAAAAAAAAAAAAAGAGTGACTTGTTCTTCATTTGGCAGAACATTATGAATACTCCTTTTCAATTGCCACCTAGTATTCCCCTCAATTTGTTTTCTTCTTTTTGTAGTTTCCTGTAACCTTGGATGCAGAATCCATTTTTAATTCCTCTTATACTTTCCCTCTGTTCATTCTTTATTAAAATATCTACTCGTTTAGGGTTGTAGTATTGAAAACTTATGCTATATGTCATCACCAGAAATTTTATAATATCAACTACATACCTATGTTTGAATATTTTCTTGAAAAGGACATATCTGCAGTTGCTAGTCTAGCAATAGTTGTTCACTTGATGTTCTTTGGCATTTTTTATAATGTAGGTGGGGCCAATTCTTGAAATCTTACCTACAGTGAAAAAAAGTCAAAAAAGTGCCATAAGTGTAATGATTACATGCTGTATAAAGTAACCAAACAAACCCTTTTGTTTGGTATGCACTATTCATGTTTGTTTACTATTACTTTGGTCAAACAGTCAACTGATTATATTCTTGATGTTTTTAAAAATTTTTTTTTTATATATATACAGGATGACATTTCCAGGCTAATTTCAATTTTCAACATACAACATGAAATCCATAACAAAGAAGGGATTAACATCAATCTCACCATTCCGATTCAAAGAAAAGTCAACCAACTGTTTTTGTTTATTTCCAAAAGTCAAATCCGTATATGGTCCAGGGAATTCCCCCGTTTATCTCAATGTCTATGATTTAACTCCTATGAATGGATACGCTTACTGGGCCGGCTTCGGAATCTTCCATTCCGGAGTTGAAGGTAATAATAATACTTTACTTTCTCCATTTTTTCATATCTACTCAAAACTACGTAGTTTTGATTGCTTCTATATTTCTACAACTAAACTCAACTATTGATGTAAAATATATTATTATAGTTCATGGAGTGGAATATGCGTTTGGGGCTCATGATTATCCAAGTAGTGGTGTGTTTGAGGTTGAACCTCGACAATGTCCAGGGTTTAAATTTAGGAGGTCGATATTAATTGGGACCACGTGTCTGGATCCTATGCAAGTCCGAGAATTCATGGAGCATCATGCTGCTAAATACCATGGTGACACGTATCACTTAATTGTCAAAAACTGCAACCATTTTTGTAATGATGTTTCCTTACAACTTAACCGGGAAACAAATCCCCGGTTGGGTCAACCGGCTCGCTAAACTCGGTAACTTTTTCTTTCCTTTTTCTTTCCCACTCCTCTACTTTCTATAAATAGTAACTAACTTTTATGTATTTGTATATTATATATATTGCAAAGCATTGTATTATTATTTCTATTTTTCTTATTAAGGTTAGTGTTTGTCATGTGAAAAAGTAGCTTATAAGCTAGCTTTTTAAAAAGCTACTTAAACTAGTTTTTCAGAAGTTTTTAAATTTTTTTTTTTCATATATACCCTTAATTAATTATAAAAAACATATTCTTTTAAATGTCTAATTATGTCATTTTACATATTTTAGCTAGCTTATCAGTTAGTTTTACCAAACGTTATTTTTTTATCAGCTAGTTTTTTAGCTGGCAGCTAGTCTTTCAGCTAATACGCCAAACATAACGTAAGTTGTTTAAAATTGGTTTGTATTTGGATGACATTGATCTTTGGTAGATTTTTTAAAGATTATGTTGTAATAGGAAGAAAAGAAAGTTGGAGGGTATAAATGGTAACATTAACATAGTCTTCCTTTTTTGAGTATTGTAGCATCTCATTTTTGTTTTTGTACTTTCATTTTTTTTTCTCTTATTAAGACATTGTCCTTTGAAAACTCTACCCAAATATATCATTTTGAATTTTTTTATTTTATGGGAAATCTTTGATAAAGACCCAATACTTTGGGTTAGTTTACGGTTTAATCCAAACATTTATTTTTTGAACAAAAAAGTCATGATTATCTAATTTTATACAATAATCTGTTTAAAAAAAATAAGGATTGTTTCGTTAATTTTGGCAAAATATAAAATAATCGGGACTTTTTTGTTCAAAAAATAAAAGTTGGGATTAAACCGTAAACTGATCCAAAATATTGGGACCTTATCAGAGATTTCCTTTTTTTTCTTGTAAAGACATTATATATTCCAAAATCTATTAAACTATAGTATTCAATATTGCTTAGTATTTTAATGACAATGCTCTAATTCGTATGATGTTGTAATATGAAGAAATGAAAGTATAATCATATGATAAACAAATTAATGAAAGTACATTGCTATTTCTAAATTTTTAGGGTCGATATTTAGCTGTGTGTTACCCGAAGCCCTTAGAGTTTCGGCCGTGCAACATTGCATACCTTACGAGACCGAGAAGCAAATGCTAAGAAGCAGTAGTTTTAGTTTTCTATCATCGAGGCAGAGACAGCTGTCGATGTCTTCGTTGCTTTTGCAGTCTCCATTAAAGGGTTGCTTAAGGCCTTGGGAGTTGAGGCGATCAAGATCAAGAAGTGTTGTCGTAAACAACACGTAAGAAGAATGGAAGGCGTCTTAGTTTCTTGTTTGTTTTGTCGTAAATAAGCACAATGATTTGTTTGTATGTTAGCATATGATTAGTGGTGATGAAATTAATTAATGTAAGGTTTAGGGGAAACTTATTTTAGGTAGAGTGATCAAAGTTTTTATTATTCTTGCTATTATTTTTCTTTACAATCTATTACAAAGATTAGTGGAACAATTGAGTTGATGACTTGTGATAATTTTATGTAAGTTTTATTAATAAGCACTAATCGAAGAACTATCCATGATGATTAGATTATCAACATAGACAAGCACATATGTAATATGGGTTGAGGCGGACCTATGAGTGCCCCACGGGGTGCTGTGTGACTAATTGATTTTTTCGTATTAGTGTATATATATAAAAAATATTTTATGTATAGTCTCAACATAAGTTGTAGCTTGGATTAGATGGTTAAGGCGTTGAACCTCTGTGATTAATGTCTTCGGTTGGAATCTTGTATTTACATTTTTGTTTTGGTCAATGAAAAAAAAAAGTATTTTGAGTCTTTTACGTGGTTGGTATTTTTAAAATTATTATACAGACAAAAAAAAATTACTTAATGTCAACAAAAAAATACAACTTATTTTGGATCGTAAGTAAACCTAAATTAATGTGATAAGTAAAATAAACATAATACTGTAACATATTTCCAAACATTTTTTTATATATAACATTATAAGTTTAATTAGTTAAATTACCATCTTTATCTAAAATCAATAAATTTATAAAAATAACATTATTTTTCTTACATTGCTGATAAATAAAAATAACGTTAGACAATTACAAAAATATAGTTATTGATAATAAATTTGTAAACACTACAAATTCTATAAAATTTGATGTTGTTAATATCGTACCTTTTAGTTACACGTTTTTGTTTCTAGTTGGTACTAATAAAGTTGTTAGCTCATTTTTTTTTCATTATAATGTGACGGTAGTATTTTGTAAAATTAAAAACCAAACTAATAACATGTTAATATATGTAACATGATGCAGATGTACCCCTCATCCTTTATGTTTCACTTTCTGATGTGTTTAAAATATTAAATATATTTTCCTTTTAAATTTGTTAACTACTTAGTCATTAGCTATGTTTAAAAGTTAGAATTCAGATAAATTGTCATTAGATAATTGTAACACTCGGTTTTGGATTTTCTTCATTATGAGCTCAAGGCTCTTTCATTTCTCAGCCTCCATTTTCTTTGAGCCTCATTTCGATCCTTAATCCCCATGGCGGTGCATTCTTGAGCTTGGAGGTGATTTTGAAGGTTCTTAGTGTTATTTCAAGGAAGTGGGTCTCGGTGATCAAGCTTGGTGTAGCCTTGGGGTTATAGATCCAGAATCTTCACACTCTTGGGAAGCTTCAGGAGGTAAAAATTTCTTATCTTGACTTCTTCTTATGCTAGTTTGAGTTTAGGTCAAGATTAAGGGTTTTTATGGTATATTAAGTTCTCCTTGTGAGTTGAGCCACTCCAGGATCTTGGAGTGATAGATCTTGCCTCTTCTGATGTTTCTAGTTCATAAAAATGCTTGCTTGATGTTTAAGAATGGTGCATGCATGTTCTAGTTGGATTAGAATGGGTCTTAATGGATTAAGATGGTTGTTGGGTCCCATTGAGTCATGAAAATGCATAAATGTGCCGATTTTATGCATTAAGAACTTTATTTTAAGGTCTGAAGTTTGGGTGCAAAGGGTTTGAGTGGTTAAGCCATAAAGTCGAGTTTGGATTAAGCCAGGTTACGCCCCGCGTAACTGGCCGTATGCCCAACGTACCAAGTTGAAGTCGCGACCAGGGTTCTTCGAGTACGCCCAGCGTAGCTGAGCGTACGCCCCACGTTCTGCTATAGCGTGTGTGTCTATTTGTCACAACCCCGAACCAGACGGCGGAAACGTCCGAGGGCTCGTGTGACTTAAATTGAAATATCATCACAATGAATATACATGAAACATAACATAAACATCACCATGCATTAATACATTACAACTGACCTTGTTCACATCAAGTACATTGTTTACATTACAACATCACATAACATAAATTGTTTAACGATTGACATTGCACAAAGGAAATTTCAGAAACACGCTTGATGATTCTTCATTCTAACGGTTACATGAGAATACAAGTTATTTTGAAAACGGTCAACATATATAATGTTGGTGAGTTCATAAGCATGTTTGATATAAAAATAGTTTGTATTGTTTGTAAAACCCAGAAAATCCGATATTTTCTGTAACAAACACTGTTTACGAAAAAGATGTGATGATCCCATAAGTGTATATGTATGTGATTTTAGAACATGTAAAAGTGAATGACTTTCATATTTGTTCCTTGTATTGTAGTTGTTGTATGTGGAAGTGAATAATGTCGTTCCCCGGAAAAACCGATGTTTTCCGATTTAAATAGTATGATAGTTTTGTATTATCGCATAAATCACTTTGTATGGCCACCATGTATGAATTTGCTTTCCCAAAAATGACGATACGGTAACGTATCTCTATGTGAGTCGTTATAACCATGCATGATAATGACTATTTCGCCTGTCTTGGCATTTGTTCTAAATGCCGGTTTTGATCAATATTTTATCACCCTAGACTGGCCGAGTCTAACTGTAGCGAACAGCTCAGGTGTGGGGGAGTCACCCCCTATAGATCTATACACAAACTCTCGCTCTCCCTCCAGGAGTCTGTGATTATAACTACAGGCTACGACCGACACTTATTGGTGCCACCCGATATTTCTCACTAAATCCCAATGAAATTGAATAACATTGTTTTACAACCCGATTGATGTTTACGTGAATATGAAGTAAGCCTAACAGACACGAAAGAGGACAACGGTGGCCCACTAATCATGTATGTTATTCTAGGCTGTCGAGTATGCTACGGACACATTATAGCCCATTAAGCATATGATGAATATTTAGGGCCATATTAGCAATGCAAATGGGCCACTAAGGCCCAATAGCATGTTAAAGCTGATAAGGGCCCATTGGGCATGTAATTGGGTCACCAAGGCCCAATAAACATGTTTTAATTATATTGGGCCCAACAATCGTATAATTGGGTCACGAAGGCCCAATAAGCACGAGTAGGAAATATTGGGCCCAACCATTGAATCGTTTATCTGTTTTTCGATATAAATTGTAGTATAGGATTTGTTTTACACTTAGTGTTAACTTGCGATATTTGAAATACTTGATGTTTGATTTATAACGACTCTTTGGTTATATATATGTATATTTTTAAAACCATACGTTATGAATTTAATATCCTGAGACCAATTGTTTAAATATTAGCACGTTGGACCCCAAAATATTTATTTGACCATTTCAGCCCCTTTTTCACATAAAGTTACATTTTCAGCCCCTTTCTTAATGAAATGACATTTTTAGTCCTTTTTGATGGAAAATGACATTTTTAGTCCTTAAATCACTTTCTTGGCATTTTCGACCCGATCATAACTTATATTACAAATTCGGCCCAAAAATATTTTATTTGCCATTTACAGCCCTTAATTGTAAAAAGTTTACATTTTTGCCCCAAATTTCGTAAGTTTTACAATTTTGGTCCAAAATCCAAAAAACTTTACATTTTTAACTCAATTTAGGATTAAAGGACATTTCCAGCCCCTAAATTGGTTTGTTTACGTTTTTAGACGCATACTTTGATGAATTTACAATTTCAACCCCAAAATTCTTCATTTTCGCAATTTTGGGCCCAAAAATCCATGAGGCCCAAATATAAGCCCATTAAGCAAAATTTTATATTTTTGGCCCTTTGAAAAGTATTATTTTCATAAAAATCAGCTTTTATATAAATAATACTTTATAACCCTCATAAAACCGAAAATTATCATCTTTCAACCAAATCTTTGTTATTTTTGCAAAAATGACACTTGTAAAGATCTTTGGCTTTGTTTTTCACTTATTAAACTTAAGGACTCTTAGATCTATGATGTATGTTGTTTATTATGTTTTTGTTTATGAGTCTTTCACATTTTAGCTATAGATCTCGAAATATAATAAGTATTAACACATTATCACAACATAAACCAAAGAAATCACATATAACATGCAAACACACATAGATCAACACATAACACTTGTATTCTCCCCCCCCCCAAAACAAGTAAAAACCGAAAACAAGGGGGTATGAACTCACCTTGGGTTTGTGGTTTCGGTTTTGAAGGAAAGATGAAGAGGATGGTGTGGTTTTCAGCCTTAGACACTTTCTTGAAAAGAACTTTCGGACTTAGAGGACTTCTAGGAAGTATGATCACCAAATGAAACCATATAAGAAGGTGTTCTTAACTTATGAATGGAAATCAAGACTTATGCATAATGAAAACTTACCAATGATGGTGATATAAGTGAAAGATCTCCATGAATCACCTCTATTTCTCGAAAATTTGAGGATAACTAGAAAGATGTTCTTGAAGTATTTGAGAGAGTTTGAAGAGAAGATTGAAGATGGTGGTGTGGGTTTATTGTTCTCGGCTGAGAGGTAATAAGAAGAAGAAAGGAAAAGGTCCTTGGGTATTACATGTAGGATTTGGCATAAAAACATGAGGGGTAATGCATAGATTACCTCTAAACAATTCTTAGGTGTCATGGTTAAATAATTCCTCATTAATGTTTTTTTTATTGATGGGCCGAAGGTGAGAAAGAAGAGAAAAGAAGAAGTGGCTTGGGCCTTACTTGCTTGGTTATGATCCTATGAGGCCCAAATTCCTAATTCTTGGCCCATTAGGCCCTTTATGAGGGTCCACGGCCCAATTGAAGTCTATTAGGATAAATGAAATCATTTGTGGCCCATTAGGGCTAATTAAATCAATTATGGCCCAATAAAACTTATTAAGTTAGTTATAGTCCAACAAGGCCTATTAGGAAATTTTATTTCATTTTAGGCCCATTAGTGCCCAAAATGTTAAATCTCATGAAAGTGGGTCCAATTAGAGCCCATTTAAGGGTCCTAAGCCCAAAATAGTCAAATTGGAGGCTTATTGGTCCATTAGGCCCAATAAGAAAATCCTAGTCCATAACGGACTCAAACCGGGATTTTTAGGGTTTCCAATCTTTTGTTGACTATTTGAAGTGTTTGTATAGAGTTTTTGATGGAATTTTGTTGTCATTGAATAAACATCATGCATGTTTTCAAATTTTGGTTACAAATG